GCTTGATACCTTCAAAGGAACGCTGGCACTCAGCGTTCCATGACCACTTGACATTTTTCTTGAGCAAGCAAGAAAGATGAACAGTCATCTCGGCGTAGTTGCGCGAGTACTTGTGCAAGTACGCCGCAAGACCAAGGAACTTTCGAAGTCCCTTGACATCGACTGGCACTGGCCAGTCGGTGATCGCCTTGATCTTTTCGGGATCAGGGCGTACGCCGTGTTTCCCCACGATGCACCCAAGAAGTGGTATTTCGCTAGCCGCGAATATACACTTCTTGAGGTTGGCATACAACTTATGCTTGCGCATAAGTTGAAGAACCTGACGAACGTGAGTTCTGTGAACTTCAACGTCCGTCTTCCCGTCCATAGCCCGGCTATGGACGAACACATCGTCGAAGTAACTCGGTGCGAAGTCTCGCACCGGTCTCAACAGATTTGTTACACATCTGTTGAATGTTGCAGGGGCATTACTCAGCCCCTGTGGCATCACTAGCCACTCCCACAGCATCCCGCTGGGGGTACTCACTGCTGTGAACGGGACGTCCCGTTCACGCATCAGGATCTGATAGAATCCATCCATCAGATCCATGGATGAAAAGATGGTACTCTTTGACATACCATCTATGATTACGTCCTTCCTCGGTATCGGCGTCTGAGCCGGTACCGTTGCAGCATTCAACTTGTTGAATGCGTGCACTATCCGCCACCCTCCTGTGGCCTTTCGCACACAGAAGGTCGGAGAGCTGTGAGGGGATGTTGATTCCCTCACATGGCCCGCTGCTAAGCGATCGGCAAAGAACTTGTCGATCGCTATCACTTGTTCACGAGGCAGTGGCCACTGCTTCATGACACAGTATTTCGAGCCCGGTTTGAGCTCGATCTCGTGTCGAGTGCCTTTGTCCTTAGGCAACTCGCAAGGTACGGATTCAGGGAACACATCCCTGAATTCGATCAAATCCTTATACAAAGGATTTGCCTGGAGTGACTCCCAGGATTGGGACGCGTATCGCTCAATCCGAGTCTTCTCATCGAGGACACTTTCGTCCATCGATGAGCTGCTGAGAACCCGTTCGTTCTCAGCAAATACTGTTGCCGACCGAATGTCGGTCACATACTCGTCCTCTGTGACGAGTACGCAGATCTGCTTGACTTTGCCACTACGCAGATCACGCAAGAACCGTTTCGGTTCTAGCGTTGGCAACTGAGTTATCTCCGAAGTCAACTTCGGAGGCACAATCAGATCAAGCGTATAAGCGCCTACGCTTGATCCGTCATTAACCAAGACGTTCAACGTCTCGGTTTCTTCCTGGGATCTTGCTTCCACAGGTTGCCGAGGGCCTGATCCCTCAGCAAGCAACTCTTGAGGAACTCCTTCCTCAAGTACGTGGGGACTTATTCCCTCGACGTCTTCCGACTGTGGCTGTGCAACCACAGTCAGGAACCGATCCTCTACGGTCGACTCTCCAGTCGACCTAGGATTTTCATGTTGCCCCTTGGGGGCAACAGATTTCTTTCTTCTAAGATGCTGCCCGCTAGGCATGCATCCATGTCCCGGTCCACTCGACTTATTCGAGTGGTGGACCTTCGGCGCAGCCTGTACTTCTGTACAGCCGCCGGGAGCTTGCTCCACAGTGTAGTGATCAACTACACTGTGACCTTGTGCAGTCGTGCTAACGACCGTACCGCAAGTGAGGCCATCGCACTCACTCGCAGAACATCCACACGCTTGTGGACGCTCCAAGATGTTCATCAGATGGCCATCTGATGAACAAGCAGCAGGCATCTTCACGGATCGATGCTGCCAGCTCACCCTTGGCTCGTATTTTCTGAGCCAAGGTAATCCCAGGATGACATCAAATTTGTCATCCAGATCTAGTACGATGAAATCATCATCGTACTGCTCGCCCTCTAACGTGTAGTGGATTCCTACTACACGTTTCTCAACGGTTATCGATGCGCCTGTTGCAAGGCGCACCGTCATCCTTGTGAGGGGAATGTCGCGCTCAACGAACTTGAGCCTACGACCCTCTAGTGACTGGCGACGAACAAAGTTGTTCGACGCCCCACAGTCTACTAGGGCACGAAGCGACAAATCATTTGTCGCTTCCAACTTCAAGGTGATGAGCGAAACGTCATCACCAGGTGCAGAGACACACAATGATTGTGTATCTGGAGCAACTTTCGTCAAGAGATTTGCAAATTCTCTTGAGGTTGCTGGATCAGTAGGGCGCTCCGCCCCTACTGACCCCGACCATTTTTTGATGGTCCGTCTCGCTGTTGCGGCTTCGCAACAGCGCTGGACCCACGCCCATTGCCCTTTCTGGCGAAAGGTCGTCCATTTCGCTCAGTACTGTTTGGTACTGGGCGCGGAGCACTACACTCGTATGCGTAGTGCCCTAACTTCTGACAGCGATTGCACCTCTGCAATCGCTTGTTGCTTGTAGAGCGAGGTCTCTCGCTCTCAACATAACAGAGGTCCATTGGTTCTGGACCTCCGATCTCTTGTCGTCTCGGTGGACGGTAAGAGTTTGAGCTAGCATGAGCCTGTCTCATGCTAAAGTCTTCCTGTTCCGCGGCTGATATCGCTTCTTCAAGCGTATTCAGCTCAAGGCGGAACAGGTGGCTCCTGACGGGCCCTTCTGCGAGCCCTTGCATGAACACCGTAATCAACGTGTGTTCATGAACTGGGTTTGCAGTTATACTACTCGCAAGGAGTCGTATATGTTGTGCGTAAGCGTGCACATCACGCTTACCCTGCTTGAGTTTCAGGAGCTCTGAACGAGCCCTGAACTCAGCACGTGGCGGCTCAAACGTTTGTCTGAGCCGGGACTTGAAGTCATCTAGCGACCTAAACACATTTGGGTCGCTACTCTCGAGTCCCAGGGACCAAGTTTTGGCACGCCCTGCCAAGTGGGTCTGAGCAAATGTGAGTTTCATTTGCTCATCTTCGACGCGACGAGCCCTTAGGGCTCTGTCGAGTTCGACAAACCATAGTAACAGGGAGTCCTCCGGGACTCCACTGTACTTGGAGATGTCGACTTTCATCACTTCGGGACGACGCGCATGCGCCGTCCCGCCCACAGCAGCATGGAATTGCTGCTGTCTCAACAGCTCCGTCTGTTGAGCACCGAGTTCTCTCAACTGCTCGGCCTGTTGAGAGCCTTGCTGGTGAAGCAAGGCTACTTTCTCCCTCTCGAGAGCAAGTTCATTGTGAATGAACTTGGCGATAGCAGCATGTTGTTGGTCTCTGTCTAGAGACTCCAACATGGTGCTGACGACGAGTTCGCCTACGGTAGAACTCATTCGTTCTACCGCACCCCATTCGATGTCACTCAAATGGGTAAACCCTTCACGCGTGGCGTGAAAGGTGTCTTCTTCATCCAACATGTTCATGTTGGATGATGTGGTCCTTGGAAGGACTACAAAGTGCTACCAGGTGTAACGGGGCACACCCTTGCGTAACTTAACGCAAGGGATTTGGGTGCCCCGACGGACGTACACGTGGCGAGCGAGGAAGCGTAGGTAGGGTAAAAGTAGAACTGTTATATTAATATAATTAAGTCTTTAAACTACTGTCTCTTCGTTTGACTTAATTCAATTATACTAATATAACTGCATGTATGGTGACGTCTCGTCACCACTCATTGCGCGCGTCTTGCGGCGGTTGGTGGGTTGATATCATCACGATATCAACCAATGAACAGACCCTTTGGTCGACCCTTCAATATCACCACTTTGGTGATATTGTTTAAAGAATATCCATCTTATATTCTTTATTGTCACTTTCCTTAAGTGACAATATCATGTAACGGGCTGCCCCGTTACACATAGGGCCCCACACGTTCTTGACAACTCCGCGCTTTCCAGCATCGAAGCCCGTAATAGGGTCTTAACCAGTTGACCGCCGAGCTTAGGCGTGCCACCCTGACCACCGATGTTACTCCAATCGTTCACCCGAACAATCCTTTCTGGTCCACAAGAGGAAGATTGGTCGGGCACGGAATTCAAGGCTTCTACAGCTGCGTACATGACGATTCAAAAGAGGCACGGTACGAGCTGGTAGCTGGATGACACGTTACCATTGGGCACGAAAGGGCCAATCATATGATTTTGACTTACTTGCTGCCGCACTTGCTGTTATTGCCTGTTTCACTTACTACCGTCTCGCTCTCCCTAGCAATCAAGCAGTTTCTTATTCCATGTTGCAGTTAAGTATAACGTGGTTGACACCATTTAGTGTGTTTTATACTTGAGTTGAGTAAAGTACTAGTTTTGGGACTTTTGTGCATTTGTGGTACTGGTTTTGAGATTTACTCTTTTAAGATTTACTCAAAACAGTACTTAGGCACCAGCGATCAGCCGAGGTTCTGAAGACGACAAAAGTCACGAAAGCAACTTGAGCCCTGCCGTACTATTCGACTACGCATGCGTCATGACTGCGCTTCGTTCTTCCACACCCATGTACGCAAGCTCAGCGAATGGCACTGTGGAACCCACGGACATTGTGCTTCGAGTAGGGCACAGCATTACGAAATATACTGTTTCGCTCTTGCGCTTTGCGAAGTCTGTGCGTTCCACGTGATTCTCATTCCATACAGCGCAGCAGACATTGTCGCGCGCTTGGCTTCTGCTGGTCTGTCCATGGAGTCTTTCAGCCGCTCACGAGGAGACGCTGCTATGAGTTGCTTTTCAGAGGCTGGTAGCGATGATAGCGAAACGACCAAAGTTATTGACTCGTATTGCTGGATGGCTACGACCGGTGCTTTCAGCCTGCCAAGTCGAGTCGAATCTGACCTGATCTCAGGTGGATTTACCACAGGTTCGTGTGGCACAGACAGACGCACGACGTCAGGGCATCACGCCTTTGCATAGAAACGCCGAGTCATTTTGCGTCCAGTTTGTTTTCTACCGAACAACTTGTGCTTCGCATCAGTCCGACACGCACCGGGACGAGCGGTCATTCCGACCACGAGACGACTTTCCGGGCCGCGAGAACACACATGCGGCGCGACGCTTCCCGCGAGCGTCTGTTCTTCCTACTGGTGCTGGTCGGTGCGCTGCTGCTGCTGTCTGGACTCATGCTGCGACACGATAGCGCTGCGCTGTCCACTCGCACGTTTCGCGACGGCTTTACGGTGGCCGAAGACGTCGTGCGACCTCCGGAGACCGTCGCGACCAGCAACGCAGTGGATCGGAACGTGACAAAGGCGCCGAGTGCTGAGCACGAAGAAGACTCGGGGGCAGCAGACGTGCGGATGACGACGATCACGACGGAGAACGGCGACGAGATCACGATCAAGCGGGCAGCCACGTCGAAGGGCAGCAAGGTCACGACCATCTCGCGGGACGAGACGGGGAAGCTCACGATCGAAGATGCTGCAGCCGAGAAAGCAGACGAAGAAAAGGCGAAGGCTGAAGTGGCGTCGGCCCGAGAGGCACATGAGGAAGTGGGGCGAGGAACGCCCGAGGACAGTGTCACGGCGTCTCCAACGATCGAACGCCACAACGCGACCGATCCAACAAGGCGCGAGGAAGAGAAGACAGTGGGGAAGGGGGAAATGCGAAGCGAGGAAGAAGAAGAGAAAGAAGACGACGAAGCCGTGGTTACGCGTGGCGGGAAGAAGGTGACGGTCGTGCAGGTGGACCGGTTCTTGACCAAAGTGAGCTTTTCAGATGTAGATACGAGTGGCAAGAAGGAGACCACTCGATAGCGTGGCGGCCCACTCGATGCTGCCTGGTATTTAAGGGGTGTGTGGCAGCAGCTCGATCTAGCTAGGACTGGTGGATGTCAAATGAGTGAGTATGTGTTTGTGCATAAATGGAGTCATGTGCTCGTGTCTGAGCTTTGATGATGCAGGCATTACGGTAACACACGCGGCATGCAAACGTTTCTGGATGCATTCTCGATGTGAAGGTCACGGACTGAAGGGTTGACGTCAGACCAACTTGACGCAGGCAATTCGAAAGTCCGACCGTGCTGGTGATTACGAAACCTGTCAGATCCATTCAGGACTGGAACGGCGGTACTTGAGCCCAACATAACGTACGGTCAATACGACCGGCAGGAAAGACTTTGTGATGTAAGGGAGCAAGTCAGCGCCTACTGGGCTCAAGGTAACGTCAGAGGTCGAATCGTCAACAAAGGCTTATGTGCTGCTCAACACAACGCATGGCGTCGACTTCTTCCATCTCCACGTTGTGTCAGAAATGTCACACAAGGCAACGGAATTCCGTGTGCGGGGTTTGAGCTCCGTAGCTTGGTCGTGTATGTGCGAGCCTATGCAAAAGAGCCCGCTGCCTTAGAATACAGCAGGATGGAGATGTAGGCGTGAACTCACTGAACTTTAAAACGCACATATCTGTATAAACTTGCTGGACGCTTAAAGCACATCGCGTCAGAGGTACGACGCACTCGGGCATGTGCAGGTTCTCATGCGCTGTCCGTCGCATGGCCGACAACGGCCATCATCCATGGTAGCGCTGGAGTGTTAATCCTCTACAATCGCAGGGCAAAAGGGCACAGACAACCACGTTCGACTTCGCAAATGAATACAACCGTTGTATACCAGATAAGCGACTCATGACATGCCAAGCAGGACGCATATTTTCGGCAACAACACCCTGGGCCATGCGACCGGAACTTTTCACCATCTGTGACTGTCGTCGCCGATAACGCAACGCCACAACTTTTCCAAACGTGACCGTTTGTTTGACATCTGCAGCACAAGTCAAGTCAGAAATTGTACTTTGCATCTTTGTTGGGCCTTGCATAGTCGCACCTGAGTCAACTGCACGGTGTTGCGCATCTCCAGCGCCTTGAATAGCTCTGACCGATCCAGCGCTCCATCAGCTGCAAGATAACACAAGCAAAACTCGTTATACCCATGAAACACCAAACTCGTTTTACCATCAACCGTCTTCTTTCCGCCTGCAAAACAACCCTACCGTTGTGAAAGATGTGGAACGCAAGCTGCACGACCGGAAATGACAGTTCCACACCGCTTACGATACGCGCCGCTCGAATGAAATCCGCTGTACCCAATATAAGCGATCAGACACTTAGTCACCTCGATATGGCCACGACGATGATGACATCTTACCTTCCGTGATTTCCTGTGCTTTCGTGAGCTCACATGCAAGCTCGATGTCGCGCAAGTAGCTCCGCACGGTGAAGTGAAACGTGCAAAACTCATTCCACGTTACCACGTCCTAAAGTCCTCACCCGACATTTAAATGAAAAGAATAAGGCGCAGAGCATCACCGATCAAGACGAAGCTCGCCACACGTACGTCACTGGCATTCAGCGCTTGCACACGCTCCAGATACGGCGGCAGTTTATCCGGATCGAGGTGCGAGATCAGTGTAAGCGCAAAGTCGTGCACAGTCATGGTCTGTTGCTTCGCCAGGGGATCACGCGTCGCAGACAGATCGAACTCGGCCCTCAGTATTTTCTTGCACAGCACATCCAGTGCTTCCGTGAGATCCTCGGCTGTGATCTTCTTCCTGTATCGCCCGAACAGGAGTGTGATCAAGCGCGGCAACGCGTTCTCGACGGATACCGGCATCTCGATCCGCCGAAACGGATGGACTGACGGACGTTCCTCTCCACCTCCACAGCCGTTGGTCGTTCGCAGCAGGTGCTCAATCGCAGCACAGAACTGCGTCTGGTTGACTGACCCATCGCCATCTAGATCAAACATGCAAAACGCCAGGGCAAACTGCTTCTTCGGGACTAATCGCAACAGCGACGAGTGCAGACAAGGGCGAGGTAAAGCTAATCAACACTCTGCTCGAACAGCCAGTCACGAACAGCCAGTCACGAACAGCAACATGACTTACTCTGCAGCAAGTGAATGAGCAAACACCACTCCTCGTACGCGATCAGTCCATCAGCATTTCCTACAAAGTCGCACGAGTAGACCAGACTCGGCTGCTGGCACAAGCGCACGCAACAACCACAAAGGAGTGAGTACCAGAAAGAAAACAACAATCCACGACTTCGCCTCCGTCTCACGGGCGAGTGCACGTGAAACTGCGCCAGCACCAACGAGTGCAGAAAGTCGGTGAACGTCATGGCTCTGACGCGCTGGCCGTCGTTCGTCTCGACGCTCCCACTCGCGAACATGTCGAACCTCGCGCGGAGCGAGTCCATAGCCTTTCGAAGCGCTCTATACTCGCTCAGGTGCATCTTGAACTCCTTCTCCTGCTCCGTCTCGGCCTCGTGCTTCCTGCGCTGCTGGAGCACCAGGCGACGGCCTTTCGTCCGACCCGTCCGCGCCTTCTCCCGCTCTTCGCTACCGAAAGACGCCGCCCCCGTTCGCCCCTGAGCTTCCGCGTGTGCCACAGCGTCTCCGTCAGCGACCCCGAGCGCCGTTCCAGCGAGCGCCAACGTCGCGATCCCGAGTGTCGACACTGCGGCGCTCGACCGGCGGCGAAACTGCCGCGCACACGAGCGCTCGAGCGCAGTGCCCGACGCCGCTGAAGGGACGGCGCGAAGCCACTGGGGCGGCGCGAAGGCGTTTCGGCGGCCTGCGCAACGTGCCGCCGCTTTGTACGGGACGACGCTGCCCCTCATTCGCGTGAAAGCGCTCGACGAATGGCGTTAGGGTTGGAAAACAACTGCCGTTACGGTCCACAATGAACGCAACGGACTGCCGTGTCGACAAGTGCGACGGCGCAAGGCAGCGGATCGTCCAGCGCCGCAGCCTTCGCGCGAATGGGCTCTGCATTCCCCAACCGGAAGTCGCGACCAACGGGCGCTGCTGATGCCGCAGAAAACGCCTCGTCCCGCGCCCTCCTGCGCAGATCCACGAGCGGCGGGCGGCGCTGTGTGGCGCTCGCGAACCCGAAGCGCTGTCAGCAGCAGCCACAGCAGCCGCACGAGCTCTGCGACTGGCGAAGTGGCGCCGATCAGCAGCTCCAGTACAGTTACTCTACGCAGCGTCTCGTGCGACAGCTGCGGCCCCGGGACGGAGAAGCGACGCGAGACGACGAGACACTGCGCGTCGCCCGACTCGAGCGTCGACTTGGCGTCGTACTACACGTTCTCCACGAGGGCGGGCAAAGGCCCACAGGACGACGCGCACGGCTTGTCGGGATTCCTCGAGTACCGCAAGATCAACGGGACGTGGCGGCCGTTCCTGTTCCAGACGAGTGGGCACCAACTGGTGCTCTATCGAGTCCACGTACGTGGCCGCCGCGTAGACCTCTCTGCTGCTGCAGCTGCTGTTGCAGTTGCTGCTGATGCTGCTGGATGAGGAGAAGAGGGAATGCTACTAACGCAAATGTGTGCGGGTGAATGCTGTGTGTAGGCCACGCATCAGGTGCTGGTCATGTCGACGGACATCCGCAGTGCGTCGGAGATCGCGCTAGAGTGTGACGGTCTGGACGGTGAGTCATCCGATCTGTCTCTTACGCGCTCTCTCTCTCTCTCTCTCTCTTCGAGGGCGCGGGCAGTCGACTCACTCCGCGTGTGTGTGTATGAAAGATCGAGAGACCACGAGGCTGCTGCGGCTCGGAATCAATGGCGCGACGATCACATTGCGCGCGGTGACACATCGAGCAGCGGTGTATTGGGTGGAGGTGCGTACCTACGTAACTGCAGTGAGCTCTGATGTGTTGTTGCGGAGCTGACCGAAAACTCATTGCGACCATGCAAACAGGGGCTGCGACGCCTTCGAGACGGCAAAGCTTTGCAGACGGTCAGCGATGCTATCTGCACAGGTGTGTTGCCGAGGCGCTCTGTGGTTGGCGGTGGTGTGGCATAGCTAACTGTGTGTGTGTGTGTGTGCTGCCAGAAGCGGAAGAGGACCTATTTGTCGAGATCGACAAGCTGCTTACCTTGCGGGAGTGGACACCCCGTCCACCTCCCGCCTCATTGTGCGGCCTTTGCGTCCTGTCGTCTCGAAGGCCTGAGCCTACGACTGCTGGCGTGTTGATGAAAAACGAGGTGTGTGCTGACCGCATCGTTGCTTTGCGTCGGTCCTGGGCCTAACATTTCGACATTCTTACGTGCAGACATTGCAGGATGAAGGCAAACCAAGCGGGTGTAGGATTTGTTGATGGGTATCTAAGAAGTTTGAGGCGCATCGGTAGCGCTGTGGCGGTGTCTGGACGGGTTTAAATAATGCTGACGTTGATCTCTTCCAGTACTTTGCACATGAGAGCGACGGTAGTCGGGTCGCTTGCGCCTGTGAATCGTCTGAACGCGGTATCCGGGTCACCGTACCTAGCAAGAGGTTGGGTAGGTGCAGCCATGGGTGGTTGGGTTTTTGTGGTCAGTTGAATGTCCAGCTTGTTACAGAAAGCCGGCGATCGACGAGACCGGTGTAATTTGATCACAAGACTAAAACAGCCCTATGTCACCCGTGAAATGGTCACAGAACTAGCACAAATTGGGCCATGCCCGCACCCCACATCAAACACTTCGCTGCTTGTGACCACAGGTCGATCATACCGGTTATACTGGTATCATCAAGAAGAAGGTTGCAAAGTAAAAACGTGTAAAACCATTTATTCAGGTTGGCGATATCGGTTTCAACAAGAAGTACTGTCCATCGATCAAGTAGAGCAAGTTCTGCTACATCGCGCGCGTCAACAGCTTCAGCGGACTCGCCCAAGTCGCTTAGATTTGCGACCGAAGACGACGGTTAGGTGGCATGTCCAACGTCGAGTGCTCCGTGTCCGTATTCATGCCTGTCTTGCCAGACTGAACGATGGGAGGCTCCTGCTCCGGAGTGTTAACGACCGGAGTGCCAACGACCGGGGTGTTAACGACCGGAGTGCCAACAACCGGCGTGTCCGGGCAGTTGCCGGTAGCGCACGGATCCTTCTTCTCGTCGCCGCCCTGTGTCTGTGACGTACCGTTCTCTCCTGATAATTCGCCGTTCGGTAGGCCGTTGCCGTTTCCGGAGACGTTCTCACCATGGTGAGGAACGCCACCTATCTCCACACCAGCTCCAGCACCGATATAGTCCTTGTAATGTACGGGGTTTCCACCGGAGTTCATCGTCGTTTGCTCCGTGTTGCCTTCCGGGTTCGTCATTTGGTCCTGGGTGCCCGGGTGCGTGCCGAAAGAACCGAGGAGGAGACCAGCGCCAGCGTCGACACCAATATCGCCGACGTTGACACCAAGACCAGCGCCAGCTCCGATGCCATGGAAGTGATCGAAGGTCGAGGGGTTTCCGCCGGAGTTCATCGTCGTTTGCTCCGTGTTGCCTTCCGGGTTTGTCATTTGGTCCTGGGTGCCCGGGTGCGTGCCGAAAGAACCGAGGAGGAGACCAGCGCCAGCGTCGACACCAATATCGCCGACGTTGACACCAAGACCAGCGCCAGCTCCGATGCCATGGAAGTGATCGAAGGTCGAGGGATTTCCGCCGGAGTTCATCGTCGTTTGCTCCGTGTTGCCTTCCGGGTTCGTCATTTGGTCCTGGGTGCCCGGGTGCGTGCCGAAAGAACCGAGGAGGAGACCAGCGCCAGCGTCGACACCAATATCGCCGACGTTGACACCAAGACCGGCGCCAGCTCCGATGCCATGGAAGTGATCGAAGGTCGAGGGGTTTCCGCCGGAGTTCATCGTCGTTTGATCCGTGTTGCCTTCCGGGTTTGTCATTTGGTCCTGGGTGCCCGGGTGCGTGCCGAAAGAACCGAGGAGGAGACCAGCGCCAGCGTCGACACCAATATCGCCGACGTTCACACCAAGACCAGCGCCAGCTCCGATGCCATGGAAGTGATCGAAGGTCGAGGGATTTCCGCCGGAGTTCATCGTCGTTTGCTCCGTGTTGCCTTCCGGGTTCGTCATTTGGTCCTGGGTGCCCGGGTGCGTGCCGAAAGAACCGAGGAGGAGACCAGCGCCAGCGTCGACACCAATATCGCCGACGTTGACACCAAGACCGGCGCCAGCTCCGATGCCATGGAAGTGATCGAAGGTCGAGGGGTTTCCGCCGGAGTTCATCGTCGTTTGATCCGTGTTGCCTTCCGGGTTTGTCATTTGGTCCTGGGTGCCCGGGTGCGTGCCGAAAGAACCGAGGAGGAGACCAGCGCCAGCGTCGACACCAATATCGCCGACGTTGACACCAAGACCAGCGCCAGCTCCGATGCCATGGAAGTGATCGAAGGTCGAGGGATTTCCGCCGGAGTTCATCGTCGTTTGCTCCGTGTTGCCTTCCGGGTTCGTCATTTGGTCCTGGGTGCCCGGGTGCGTGCCGAAAGAACCGAGGAGGAGACCAGCGCCAGCGTCGACACCAATATCGCCGACGTTGACACCAAGACCGGCGCCAGCTCCGATGCCATGGAAGTGATCGAAGGTCGAGGGATTTCCGCCGGAGTTCATCGTCGTTTGCTCCGTGTTGCCTTCCGGGTTTGTCATTTGGTCTTGGGTGCCCGGGTGCGTGCCGAAAGAACCGAGGAGGAGACCAGCGCCAGCGTCGACACCAATATCGCCGACGTTCACACCAAGACCAGCGCCAGCTCCGATGCCATGGAAGTGATCGAAGGTCGAGGGGTTTCCGCCGGAGTTCATCGTCGTTTGCTCCGTGTTGCCTTCCGGGTTTGTCATTTGGTCTTGGGTGCCCGGGTGCGTGCCGAAAGAACCGAGGAGGAGACCAGCGCCAGCGTCGACACCAATATCGCCGACGTTGACACCAAGACCAGCACCAGCTCCGATGCCATGGAAGTGATCGAAGGTCGAGGGGTTTCCGCCGGAGTTCATCGTCGTTTGATCCGTGTTGCCTTCCGGGTTTGTCATTTGGTCTTGGGTGCCCGGGTGCGTGCCGAAAGAACCGAGGAGGAGACCAGCGCCAGCGTCGACACCAATATCGCCGACGTTGACACCAAGACCAGCGCCAGCTCCGATGCCATGGAAGTGATCGAAGGTCGAGGGGTTTCCGCCGGAGTTCATCGTCGTTTGATCCGTGTTGCCTTCCGGGTTTGTCATTTGGTCTTGGGTGCCCGGGTGCGTGCCGAAAGAACCGAGGAGGAGACCAGCGCCAGCGTCGACACCAATATCGCCGACGTTGACACCAAGACCAGCGCCAGCTCCGATGCCATGGAAGTGATCGAAGGTCGAGGGGTTTCCGCCGGAGTTCATCGTCGTTTGATCCGTGTTGCCTTCCGGGTTTGTCATTTGGTCTTGGGTGCCAGGGTGGGTCCTGTCGGTACCGAGTACGACACCGGCGCCAGCGCCGACACTTGCGCCGCCGAGGTTGATGTCCACACCGGCGCCAATGCCGACCTTTGCATCATGGTCGTAATTCGTGGCGTCGGTGTTGGACGCCTGGCGGTCCGCTTCAGCGATGCTGGACATGATCAGAGCCGCGGTCGCGCACGTGACGAACAACTTATTGCAGGACAGCATGATGTTTGACGAAGAAGAGAGAGTTGCGTCGGGGATCTTCTGAGGGAACAGTCGGGCTGTTGAAAGGACCTGGGCCGAGGCGGGCAAGTTGTAGAATGACAAGATGGAGCAAGCAGGGACTGTTGTCGGGCTGTCGGCCGAGCGTCGCGTTCCAGCTGTGCGATGCAATACAGCTCGTCCCATCCGAAGCTAGAGATCGATGGGCATCGTTGTATGCAAAGTTGCCGAAACATCCAGTGGGCACGGGCAGGACTGCCATTGTGCACATGTGCTCGTAAAATGTACGTACGCGTGGGACGTAGCGCGTGTGCAGGCAGGTACGCAAGGGCAATTCCTCTCCGGCGATCAGGTACGTCGTGACGACAAACAGCTTGGAACTGATCACAAGGATCGGTGCGCTGTGCAACTGTCTTGTGCCGGGATGATCAATCACGAAGCTGATCGGAAAACATGAAACTTTGGCAGGAGCTCGAAAAGGGCGGGCGTGAGATATTGGGTAGGCAAGCGACACTAGCCAAAGCAGTTCCTTACGCTCTTTTAATACGTCGCACTGTTTGCCTCAACTTTTCCTTCTTGAGTGCTGTATGGAGTAGGCCCTGCACGCGGTCGATCAAGTTGACGTACATGGGAACGCAGTCTGCCGTTTTATGTGTGGCGATGGAAAAGGGTACGGATGACGCTTTCGGTGAATAGCCTCGCGAGCGTCAAATCGAAACGATGTTTTCCATTCTTTGATTGTGCGTGACATGTGCACACTACCTCTCGAGCGTCAAATCGTATTAACTTTTTGTCCCGATTGAACTTTGGTGACATGCGACGGGCAGCCTTGTCTCCAAGTCGTCGGGGCAGACAGCCGGATGACGACGGTGATATAGAACCTAGGGGCTGCGCACGCGAGTCAACCCGGGCAACGTTCAGCCACACCCTCGCTCACTTTTGTGGGGCCAAGCTGCTGCTTCAATGAGGAGCGAGTACGTAATCCGACTGCGGTCGATGGACTTAGTAAATTACCAATGTTAAGGCTCTTTGTCGATCAGCCGACACGCATACGGCTCCGACCGGGCACGCGCGACAGTCGATCACGATTGCCTCTGTGGATCCGTCGCCCCGTAATCACCGAACACATTTTGTTCTTGGTCGCGGTTCGTAGCGTGTGGAAAAAGACTTGGTGCCGCCCATAGAAAAGACGTGGCACAGCGATGTTCATTTGCTTCAATGCGCAGTGGTCGGCTCTCGTTGACTTGGCGTGCGGAAGCTGCACCGCCTCCTCATGTGGCTCTCGTTATTTTACCTGCAAGCTACGCAGCGCTGTGCTCACGTGTCAAGCAAGCTGATTTCGCCTGGCTGCACGGCATCGCAGCGCTGCCTCCGTCTGGATGCCACCGATCCATACTGTGCTTGTCGCTCGTCTGTCTGGGCGTCAGAAACATCGCGTTCCCGTTCTGCGTGACACGCGCTTTTCTGAGCGGTTTATGTTCCACGTCCGTGCGGATTGTTCTACCGATTGAGACGCAACATGTGATTCGTTCGTCGTCGTCGTACGAAGTAACGACGAGCTGCCTTTTCCGAAGCCTCAACGAACAGAGTGGCGGTTGCAGGGAGTTTGGAGGGATACGTCCGCTCATCCGGTAGCATCTTCGAGCTCCACCGATCAGCGCGCCCGACTGAGAGCGGAGTAAATCATGACGTTTCTCGTATGGTGATAGTACACCGAATCCGAACGGTCGGTCGTATCGTATGTCCTACGCGACAATCCGTTCACGAAATTTGGGATGCACAGTGATGTGCAGTTGCAGAGGTAGTGGGTGAACCCAGACTCCTTTGCCCGCACCTGATCCACGACACTGCCACATTGACAACGCGCCATGTGGCGTTGATCACCTGTTTACTCCAAGCATGCGACAGGGGGTCCAGTTTAGTGCCAGCCGACGCTTGAGCTGCATACTAATGCTATGTTCAGCCGGATCTATCCCCACGACGTGTCGATCGTGTGCCAGCTGCCCGGCGTGCTTTGAACAGAGGGCCGAAGCCTTTGTGTGGTCCACAAAATAAGCCCTCAAACTCTATGGTGCGCGAGGTGTTCGAGGCCTTCTTGACCGACCCGATCCGTGTAAATGAAGACGTCTTCGCGCTGTGGCTCGCGGGCCACAACGCCGACGATACGCTGACCGCTCGTCTGAGTCTCCCGCTGGCTGTGCCCATGTCATTTCTCGGCGGAGACGCAGCCTCAAAATTGCGCGAGCTACTCTGGCGAGACACTGTGGACCAGTATCGACTCTACGATAAGCTGGAGCACTACTTGGCACAGCCAAGTTTGTTTCGATCGCAGTTGTTGTTTCAGATCCCTCCTGACCAGCAGTATTACATGGTGCAACGCTACTACGTGCGAGATGCCGACACGGACCGCTGGCTGCTGGGCAAGAAGCTCTGTGGCCGTCTAGAAAAGGATTTGGATGATGTAGCTGAACGATCTGGACGCACGCTGAAAAGCTGTCGCCGTCAACTGGATAATCTTCGACGGGTGTATGCTGCGGTGGAAGATCGCAACTTCCACGGTTCTGTAGGTCGTACGATTAGCGACCTCTTCCTGCTTTCGGAGCAGCTTGCCAGCGAGTACGCGTGTCTGCTCTTTATCTTGCACACGAGGTTTCAAGTGCATCCCCAACATCCTGACACTGGATTTTTAACGTGGTCCGATCTCTGTTACATCGCTGCATTGCTAATGACGCACTGGCTCCCGCAACGAACGACGTTTCCGAAGCTCACGTATTCGAATAAAGCTCTCGCAACAACAAACGTAGTTGGCGACACTGTTGTCGAGAATGGTGCCCAACTTGCATTGCGATCTCTGAGCACTGGGGAGTGGCCAACTACTGGTATGTTGCAGGAGACGCTGCAGCCGACTAGCGTATGGGAGACAGTTGGGTTAGATCCGAGCCATCTTTTGGCCAACTGTCTGCGCGATCTGAAGGCACATCTGATTAATGACAATGACGTGCTCAAGACGTATCGAGACAACATTATCGCACGCGTACAAGCGTGGACTGCCGCAGAGGGGACACTGCGGAATATCGTTTACACTTTTGACGAGCTGGAGAGCAAGTTGTACCTTGTGGTCCATGGGCTGTTAACCATTGGTGCTGGCCTGTCTCAGCCAAAAGAGTTTCAACATCTACTGGAGCACTTGCTGACTCGTGTCGTATACGTTTTACACGAGTGTGGGGTGATGAAGCCACAGCTGAATGCTCTATTCAGCGCGTTCGTCGATGCGCTAGCTGAGCTGGATGTGTGGTACCTTAATGGTCAGGGGACGCGCGGCTTACTGCTTGCTAGCTGGGATCGCTTTATCAGCGTATGTCGAGCTGTGGTGCTGGCAGTCTACGATCGCTGTCACCCTGCTGCAACAACGACGTATGAGCCGGCATATTTGCATAATGGCGCGACGGAGCGGACGGTAACCAGCGCTTCAGCGGTGCAGGCTCGGATGGCAATTGCCTTTGAGTCACCAGGTCGTTAGTACCGGACGTGGACCAGCTTGAATGAGGACGTATACAAACGAAGTTGTATGAAGGGCGTGAACTTGCGTTTCATTCTGGCGACAAGCATGACGTGATTGTTGCTGCTTCGTGCGCTGGTTTTGTTGCGTCGCTACGTGGCCTACTATAGTGTGACGCAGCAGTTTTTTGCACTTCGATCGAGTGAAGCCTAGAAGACTTCGTTAGTGTGAAGTTTTACGTAGGAGCGAGTCTTTCAATTCGATCTTCGATCAATGATCTAGGAATAGATGCAGACCAACCATCGAGATACAGTACGCTGAGCTGTAAGATGACACACAGATGATGGCCGCACAAGACTGTGTAACAGATGATGTCAGAATTGCGAGTAAAAAGCAAGTCGTGTATGAGTGAGACATAGTGCATGTAGCTTGGATGCGCTGCTTGTTTGAGCAGCCACTTTGCTTGCGCGTCTTCCACGCATGTACTTGGAGAGCTAAAACGGCTTACAGTCAGGCGTCTTAATAGTAGCGGTGGTTGCTGGTGGGACGTCAGACCACCAATGCAGTCACAATGGTGCATTTTTGTGCACCAAACTTGCGGGAATTGGAGCCTGCTGCCCCATGAAAATCGGCAGGCTCGAAGGAGTGATAACTAAGTAAAGTCATTAGCCCCAGTTGCTGCCGCAATGACGTTAATCAATAAACGCACTGCGGCAGTCAGAGCCCATTCCTACGCAAACGAGCGATTGATGCAGCGACTTTTTTCGAAACAATCTACATTCTATGAGACTGCACCAACCAGCGTATCGACAAAACGTGTATTTTCGAATTGCATTGTGAAAAGTATCAGGTAAACACGTTACGGGTGTGCGTAGCGACAAGCAAGAGACTGAACAGAAGTGTCGGAGATGGAAGGGCCTTATGCAGCTTCATTTTCTGCGTACCTGTTGACCGCCATAATATTTCATCATGCAGATGTGTTATACGATGATGTGTTATATCTCATTAGGAGCGGAGCACTGGGTGTCGTCCATTTCCTTGATCTCACATTCTTTTATTTTAATATTTGCCATTCGTTTCGAGAAAGCGCACCCAGCGAGGGGTCAATCGCGGTAAGCCACGTGATAGGGCAATCAGCGTACAAAAGTCGTACATAGAGTCGTCCTGATTCCCGTGGCCCCGAAAAACAATCCGTAACGAGACTTATTTGAGTCTGTGAATGCTAAAAAGGTGGAGTTTCGAAAGTGTAGTCAATTGTGGGGCTGCGACCGACGAAGGCACTGCAAACAATCGCGTCAACGTCCAGAAAAGCAAGAACGGCTGAGAATAACCGCATACTTCACAAGCATAACTCAACACTGGTCCGTAGGCAAATGCGTCCCAGATGTTCACCATTCGCCGACCATCCTACACTTGATTTAGCTGTTTGTGTCTGTGCAGATACTGTCGGCAATCGAATTGTAGTTCCCGAGCGCTCGCTGCATCACAAGAGTAGATGGAAAATGATTGGAACCACGATCGAAGTACATTGTTCCGTGGGATTGCGGGCGACGTAGTTCTACAGGTGGCACTCACAAGAACGTTTTACTGACTTGCAAGATCGTGTCGATCATTGCTTGCGAGACAAGACCTGATACGTATCGATTGCTCGATGCGGATGCCACAGCGTATAGATGCAATATTCAAGGCATTCGGTATACTGCTGCATGGCATCTCTAGCCAGTAGGACACTCTTCCGTGCTGGGTCCTTCCTAAAGACCACGACCAAGTTATAATTTACAAAAAATATAACTATTGAGTTATGTCTGCTGACAATATTTGCAAAGTGGGATGGCGTGTACATAGATAGGGATGGTTACAGGGATGAAAGGAACGATTTGCGAACAGGGTGCGAGCCTCGGATAGCGTGGTACATAGATGGATGTTTGTGAAAAGAGTGTGACAATGAGACAAAAGATGCAAATACTGTAATTATCGCATTACGTTACAGCCGTATAAGCAGTATAGGCTTGTCTCCGTTCCAGGACGGAACAAGTTTGCAACGAAGAGCCAAACAGCCTGCCTACTTCTGAAATCAGCGAACAAACTCAACGTCAGTCTAATGCATGACTGGAATCCGACTGAACAGTCATTAGTGGAGTTACTTCTCATTTCGGTTTGAAAATATAACGTCGCCAAATAATAATGTAATAAAATAATTTGTTGAGTACAGTGAAAATCTGCATACTTTGCTTGCTCCACCTATCCTATCATCCTTGCCCGTAGAAAGCTTTTCTTTTCTGTTGTTTAAGCTCATGTTTTGAGATGCAAAGTACAATGATGACTGGGAAAATGCAGCCTCCCATCGTTGCTTCCCAATTGAACATTGTCTAGTAAAAAATGTTTGCTACAATATACATTTACCGTCCTACACGATATTAATGGGGTAAGATACACACAAGTCATGATTTGTGCCGTGCGAATGTGTGTCAATGTCATTCCAATTACTGGATCGTTAGTGGGTTTACACATCAATCCATCACATTCTTTCTTTCTCTAGGGCTAGAGGCAACGATTACACACGCACCATTGCGTTCGTAGCGCTCGCCTCTCAACGCAGTATTACGTCACGTCTTCAAAGATGGTACACATGTTGGTTTGAACGCGCCTACGGTCTGGATGGATCAAGCATTATCGTAACAAGTCTTTGCTAGACGCCACATAGAACACATTGCGATCCAAAAACGTTAACTTGCCTTATTTAAGTAATGTCATAGCGCGCAATCATAAGTAATTTCAGGGTCATATATGGCAAGGCGAGTAAGCACCTACACCGATAACCGAAACACTGTATTTGGATTGCCAGCTATATATCACGTTCATCGACGCAACGGAATGCGCACCAATACGCCAGAAATAGTCATACCTGAGGGGGAAGCGATCTTCTATTTCTGATGTAGTTAGTATCTTACATTTTGGCACGACACAAGGTGCTGGAACAAATTAGATACTGGATGTCCAATACTACACATCCTTTACTACTTGTATCTTGTCAGCATCAGCTTCTGTGCGGTCGTTACAACGGCCAATGCGGGATACTGTTACGAGGAGCAGGTCGTGACATGCTGAGAATATAACTTGACGTCGACCCTGGACTTGGAGCGGATCACGATATATGTGCACAAAAACACAATTGCTGCTCTTTTTACTGCATAAAGGAACATGTCACGCATAAAAAAGCACGAAGAACCAATGGACAACATGCTGTGATCCGATTGAAATTGATGCAATGTCGACAACACAACACCACTTGAGAATGCATAAAAATCAGACAAGAAGACATGAGATCGAAGTATCGTCCGCGGCAAATGCAGCCAAATTTGTCGGTCTTAAATCCATCGATACGTGTATACCGATACGAAAAAGCGCTTCCACTCGGCACGATAATACAGCTCAACGGCGCGATAACACAGATGAACGGCACGACGACAGTTCAACGTCCTGTGAAGTTGTACACTGTGTTCCTCTTGCACAAGTCGAGGGTAACCGGGATGCACGCATGCTCTCTCTGGGAGAGCGGGTAGCCTTACACGCATTGTGAGAGTCACATGGGTAGTTCAGTTTATAGACTGCGGATGACAACAGCAATTGTCGTAGTGGAGCGATATGACTTGCGCAATACCATCGGAGATGTTGATTTTATAAGTGCTGGCGGACGAATGATAACTCGACAGGCGACACGTTTTTACCTGCAAATTGCATCTATGAGCACATTACGGGTGTAAGTCGCAGAAAGCGGCGATAGGAATTTACAACATATCATAAGTCATATACCTTATCCTGTTTCTGTGCTTCCAAATCGCCCACAACGCTACTTGTACCGCAATGATTGTGCACGTACTCGGGCATCCGATTGATTCAATATTGCGGCTGAAAGATTGTGCTTTCAAGCCCACACAGAAAAGACCGCGCCCCGTGACTGAATGATTGTATCTTCTATTCTGAACGGACCTATATCGCGTCTTCTAGGGTATTGTCGATTACGTAGTAATCCTTGCTCCTCTGACTTTATTCCAATTATTGGTTGTACATCTATTGGTGTATTTATAAGAGCACAATATAATTCATTGTTAGGTTTGTATATAAAAATAAATTATTCCGAGTTTATTCGTTTGTCACTTGTTACACTCGCGCAATGTTTCTTTACTTCTCGATTTCAGAAAATTTTTGCGTTGAGAGCAAACACCACCAATTCTACTTGTAAGGTTTTATCGAATATCAAAATTACGCATTGAGTCATTACTAATTTTTTATTATCTTTTTTCGCATTGGTCGTTTCCGTGAATATGAACGCTCTCCTTTGACTAGCTTGAAGAACTCCTCGTGTATCACATTACTAAGTTTACAAAAATTATAAAAGCGATGAAAATTATTATACACCAAATTTAGGAGTTGAACTTTTGGTGCTTTAAGTACATCTCCTAATTACAAGGATTAACAGGCATTCATTGATGAAAGGAGAAATATCAGTACAATATAGAGAACAGTAAATATCGCATTTACTATTAGCTCAGTAACTTCGGAAGTGATAAATGAAATACGTTTGAATACACATGCGAGGATTACGTGTTACTTATCGACATATGGATGATATTTGTAAAAGTTCTGTGGCAAATAATAAAAATATCACTTTATGCCGTTGGAGGTGCTGAAGGTGATATGAAGTATGCCCATCTCATGTCATCCACACCAAAATGGGTCAATGTAAATTCATTTTGCCGATAACGTTCTCTATTATTAATTTTGCCGAGTAAATGTTGACGTAATTGTACCGTCACAGGTAATATTTGACACTGCTATGGTCATTAGTGATATGAGCCATTATAATAAACACAACACAGATCGCTGGTGGATACGCGCAAAGGGTGGTGAGCAGACATATATATTAGTAACTTGTCATTACGCATAGTCAAAGCCAGGCCAACGGTATGTATCGATACAAAGTTAAAGGACATCATAAACACGTCTTCACCTTCCCTTTG